TCCCTCCATATCGTATAAGAAGCAGACTTGTATCCCATCAAAAGCTCTACCATGACCCTCATCGACTCAATCACAAGCTTACCTTTCCGTAAACCTGCTCAAAGCCCCCAAGAACCTTCACTTTCGTTGACATCAACCTCATCTGACACTATGGCCTCTCTCATTCCCGTCAAGGAGTCCGACATCTCCATCGTCTACAACTCCAACACTCGCGAGCTCGTTCTCGCGGCCAAGGGCGAGATTCCCAAGGTTTTCTTGACCCCTTTCTTCAAGCAGGAGTCCGTCCTCAACACTGGCCTCACCTTCTCCATCCGAGCCTTCGCTGGTGGGTTTCCCCCCCAGAAGGGCGAGAAATCCTTCGATATCAAGCACTCGGTGCACATCAACCTGCCCCTGCCGCACTTCAACAACAAAACCGTCCTGATCGAGACCGCCAGCGGCAAATTCAGCGTCGAGATCAAATACACCGGCCTCGGGCCTGGCCCCGTCATCCGTGGGGACAACGGCGGCGAGGAGGGTACCACCTACCAAGACGTCTTGCCTCCTATCAGGCGGTTCCTCCCTGCCGACCAGCCCCTGCGCATCACTGCGAACATTCCCAAAGTCGAGCCGCCCAATCGTGTCAACATCGAGCCGTCCTACAACCCCGAATTCCTCGAGTTGATCCATTCGACGGTCCATGAGGGAAGCATTTCCTGGACTTTCAAGTGGAAAAAACTTCCCACTGAGGAGGGCGCAAACCCCCAGCTGATCGACGTCACCACTCACCAATACAACGGCCTCGTCGGCCCTGCTGCCCGCAACTACATCACCATTCAGGGCTACGTTGTCCTCTTCGTCGTTTTCGAGAAGAAGTAAGGATAGCCACATCCGACCTCTGAGTGGCTTTTCAAAGGAATTCACATGTCTACTTAGGGGCACCAATGTAGTTGGTAGCGGAGATGTCGTCGAAGGCGATTGGCATGTGGTGTGAACCTGGAGTGGATCTTAGCTCTCTTATTCTATAAGTTGGACTCCAACTTGGATCTCGTTATCTATATCAATACACTTCTTTTGTGGAAGCCTTTCACTGCTGAGGTATGTCGTCAGCCAGGTACCATGCACTTTGAGACATTTCATACCGAGGTACCTGTTCTGCAGGTTATGATCATCCAAGGTTCGGTCCGAATCTGGCAGGATACCTAGGTAGTTTTCCCGCGATCGGGATTTCGGATCTTCAGCAATCTGATTAGTAAAAACAAAACTCCCAAATTATTAGCTGAGTGTCATATCCAGGAAGTTTCGAGCCCCCCCAGTAGGGGTTTTCACAGTAGGAGAACAAGCAGTAAAATCACCTCGGTCAGTGCCCAGTCCAGTAGCTCGCAGTATACGTACCCAAGGGTTGAGCTGAGTGTCATAGTGGGCCTTTATCTTGTCCATCTCGGCACTCTCGCGGATTACTAGTAGTTTGCGGTTTATACTCATTATTGTTTCTACCAAAATGAACTCTACTTAGAACGACCACCTGCCTTTAGTCTGAGACTGTAAACCTTAAACTCAGGCCCGCATACTCTGGGTCTGCGTTGAACGCAAACCCTCTCGAGCCTCCCCACACAGTGACCTCTGTGATTCTCTTGTTGCCAAGGGCGGCCTTATGTTGTATAAGGAACAAAGCCGCCCCAGCACCATGGGTGCTGCCAAGGATGGCAAGGCCGTCGTCTGTGTCCATCGAGAGTATCACCCTGTCGTTCCATCCCGGTACGAACTGATGTCCCTTGTTGTACAAAGCCTGCAAGACGACGTTGAAACTAGGGCGGTAGGTGATATTGCTGCGGTAGATGAGCTTGACGTTGCTCGGGTGAATGCCCCTCACTTGGCAAGCTTCGAGCCACTGGAAGTAAACCATGTCAGACAGCTGCTCCAGATCAGGGACATCTCCAATCTTATTCTTCTCAATTTGGTAGCGAGGGCTGAAGTTTCTGTCAAAAACGATAGCGCCCGATCTTGGATTGAGGACGTTCTGGTAAGAAGCGCCCGTTGCCTGGAAGGGGGACGAAGCGCATTAGAGGAATAGAGCTCTAGATGGCCAGGTTTGGTGGGCAGCCACTTACAGCTCCAACACTAACGCCGTCGCGCTTGTAGAAATTACTTTCGTGCATGTAAGTGGACAGACCATTCTCTGCCGGGTCGACTGGATAACGTGGGTCTGCGAATGTGACATCCAAGAGGTTTCCGAACCCAGGCGTCGCATCAAACTCGTCGAAATCTGAATCGAAACCATCGTCGTCCGACTCCGACTCGGCGTCCACGGTGTCAAAGGGGGCCCAGTTCATCTGGCGAGTCCATCCCCAGCGTTCAACAGCCCTGGGGTCCTGCCACGGCGTGGCGACGGTAACTCCGCTGTTCTGCTGCTTTGCCGCCGAGTCGCTGAGTGGGAAAAGTGACTTGAGGTAGGTTCCCTTCTGAACACGACCATTGTAGTCGCTAGGGAAGTCTGGGAACTGTCCTTGTACTCGCTTGTTGAGAGGCGCACGCTGCAAGGAGTTGATGTAGTTGGCGCTTTCACCGTCCACTGTTGGGGTGGGAGAAGCACTGATAACGGCCGCTTGGATGAAGAGGAGTGATAGCAGAAAGCGAAGGCCCTTGGGGCTGGGGGGACGAACGACGCTAACCATTGTGATTTGTTATCGTTGGTCGCGTGGCGAAGAAAGAAGCAGGAGGAGAGGATAGGCGCCCAAATCTGAATACAGCGGGTCGGCACCTCTTGTAGGCGATGGAGATCCCATTGCATTCAGATTCGCCGGTCAAGGCGATCAGGAGAAAACTCCGAAAGGGATGCGAAATTAAGAATTGCGATTAACCTTTCGAGACTTTTTGCCTCAGCGATGAACAAACTGGTGTTCGTCCCCGGGGGCGCCGCGGGATCCACCTTACGACGGAATTGCCTAGTGGCCAGTGTCACTCGATTCGGCATCTATAAATAGGCCGTTCATCCAAAGAGCGATGAAAGCTAGTCACACAACTTTTCGCGCATACATCGACAATTTACTCGGGTTTTCTTTTTTTGCCAAGCTATGGTCAATAGATGAATGCAGACACAAGTAAAATTGCAGCGAGCAGACACATAAGTGAACTTATTTCTTCATCATGCACCATATATATACATATTAGCTGATCCACCATCCCGGCGATGCCAACCGATCAAACTTTAAAAGATTACTAAATGCTGGGGTCAAGCTGGCAGGATTACTCGCAGCCCACTGGTGTACTTGGTTCAACAGATCTATCGTGATCACTTTAGGTATATATTCACTCGCCCAGAGTTACTGCTCCAACATCATCCCCCTTACGGAAGAGTTCTTATCTTCATTCACTTCACCTTCCACAGACACCATGATTTTGAGAGCTCAGTATCTTCTCACAGTATGTCTATTCTTTTCAGAGGCTGCCATGTCAGCTATTCTACCTCGCGACGGCGATGATTACGCCGGACATCCGGAGGTGAACCATGACCAAGTAGCAGCATTTAAACAAGATTCTTCCCCCGGAGTAGACGGACGCCTGGAACTCATGTTCAATCCTCTGCTCATCGTCACAGGAGGTTGCGACCCGTTTCCTGCAGTCGATGCCAACGGAGGTCTTGGGTAAGAAAATTCAATTCACTATTCATAGTATATCAATAGCTAATGGTATCTTGCAGACAAGGTCTGAGACCGACAGGCGGTGGACGATCAGGCTGTGGCAATGGCGGGACTGGCCAGGTCTATGCTCGCCGCGGCAGTAGTCACGGCCGCGACGCTATCATTTACAGCTATTACTTCCCAAAGGTTCGATGGGGGAAAGGCGATAACAAGGGACATCGTCATTACTGGGCCAGCATCGTCGTTTGGATCAACCAATGGAGCTGTGATACCGAGAAGCCCTCATCATACCGACCAGTGGGGATGTCATACACAACCGACCACGCAACATGGGGTTTCGAACCTATTATCGGTGGTCTGACATCTAAAGCCCCTCCCGAGAGTTCCTCGCCGACGAGTTTCATTGTCCAAATCCACGACAACGCCATGACACCATTTAAAGACGCCGATGTTACCGCGGCTTCTCAGCGCACGTTGATCTCTTGGATGTCACTATCCGTAAAGGCGCGTGAGGCTTTGACTGACGTCAAGTACGAAAAGACCACAGTGCCATTTACCGACGCCAACATCCAGGCCGCTTTAGACACTGCCTACCAAGAGAGCTTTTACACAGGGTTAAAGGACGGACAGGACTGCAACACCACTATCCCAGAGAGTGATGGAGCTGACTTAAATCCGGACGAAAGTCCTGAGGATAAAGACCCAGAGACAATTCCTCTTCCCCCTGTGACTGTTTAGCTATACGCATCAAAATAAAGGCATCATCATCCTTTCCGTTTGATATACAGCATACAAAATAATCTTGACACATCTTAAGGTAAGGTAGTCCTAAACGTTTTTATATTACGACTGATTATTAAATATATTATAACTAGAGGGCGCTCTGTAGCACACTCAGTAGCTAAGCCCATCTTCCTTGGACATAGGCATTTGAGAACTCTTGAGGACTTTCTTATCTCAACTTCGGATGCGCCTAGATGAGATGCGCACCTCATCTACGCGCATAGATTATAGGGGATTCTTCTTGCCAGTCGGCGAGAGTCTACGTACGTCGTACGTGTTGTAATGATCCGCAATTGCGCTCTCGTAATCCTGGTTCCACCTTTGCGACAGTAAGGTATTGTGAATGCACTCCACCAGTTGGATCTGACCAAGGTGCATGTTGTGCCACCACACCTCTGCCAAGACGAGTAAGACGAGTGCTGCAGTCAATAGTGGCGGATCACTTGCAGAATAAGGCAGGCTACGGAAGACGGCAAAGGTTCCACATCAATGACGGTGTTAAACTCGCGTTTAAGCCCATATCCCCTCTCGACACGTTCTCCAACTGTTCGTTTCTCATTCCGAAGACCGCTCGAGTAGCTATTTATCCTCACAACCATGGCATTTTTTCACAAGCCACCTATATTCTGGTTCCCGACGACCGAAATTCCGGGTTGGCTATTCTTCGGCATTTTTGTAGCATTCGCCTCAGTCCGTGCCAAAGCAGCCTCCGCAGACACTGATGCCGACGATGCCTTGTCAGATTTCACAAACGACCTATTCACAGATCTCGGACCTCTTTTGGCTCTGTTTGGTGAGCAAATGACGAAGCAATACATTAGCGAAAGTACGAACTATTACGACTATTTCATCTTTGGCATGGGCCCCATTGGTGTTATCGCGACTATAGTGTCTACTATCCGCCTCTGTGGTCCCGCATCTCTCCGTGCTATCATTGGAAGATCTACAGAGGGCAACAGTGCGATCGAGGCAAAGCTTTGTACTTCAACAAGTCGTGATGTATGCGAGGTTTTCAACAACGGCGGTATTACTCGTGTCCTGGGCCAACCTAAAATTCTCGAGCTCATCCGTACGCCAAAGTACTACCTCCTCTACATGGAAGCGTATTCCCATCGCGAAATTAATCGGAAATCTGGCTTGTATCTATTCCGAGATTTCGTAAAAGACGCCCAACGGGCATGGAACCCGGATTCGAAGCTAGAATGGAGTCTCCCCCTTCTTCAACAGCTCAGTCCGGCTTCACAAAATCCGCCCAACCTATCGCTCAACATTGGTATCACTCATTACAATACATGGGTCTTTTGTCTTGTTGCCTTGATTGGGCTAATTCTCCAAGCCGGCGTGCTTGTGGTTGCCGGCGTGGGCGTTTGGGTCTTGGGTTGGAACCTGATCGAGGGTACTACAGCATCGAAGAATTACGCGCCCACCATTTTCACTATTGATACAGTGTTCATGTGCGGGGGAATGTGTGCTTGCATTGCCATTATTGGCCAGGCTACCACAGAAGTCCGGTGCAAACGCGCACCCTCTGTCACTGGCCGCCCCGTGACGTCTCTCATCTGGCTACAGCCAAGACAGGTCATAGCTGACCAGAGATTTGACGCATATGCTTTTATTGAAGACGAAAAACGCGACTCTTGGCCTGGACGTCTTCCATGAAAACTTGGGACTTGGATCCTAGAAGCGAAATCAAGTTCATGTCAGAGACATGCATCGCAGTTTCAACAGTCCTCATTGGGTATATATTACAGTTCACTGGGTTGAGAGGCATGAGAGCCTGGGTTTCAGTTGCCCAATTAATTACAACCGTTTTCATGAGCATCCTCAGAGGAATGCTTCGAATGCAACGAGTCACAAAGGAAGACAATCAGTTGCTGAGCAAGGCGGAGTTAGTCCAAGGACACGAACTTGACTGGCTGGCTGTTGAAATATCTCAGTGTGACAACCTAGATGGACAGTCCACGCTAAAGAAAGGCGACACAAAGTTAACAGTGAGTCTTTCGGTATATTGCCTTTCAAATGTTGACATGTCGCTAAGATCGACGCAGCAAGCGAAGCCACTCCCTCCCTGGACGATGGTATCTGCGAACAGAAGCCAACCAAGTTATCAAAACTTGATGAATCTCAGGATCTGCCTTGCTGTGATGGCGGGTCATGTGCCACAACATGTGATACACACGCAATCAAAGCTTTCAAAAGTTCCATGGGATGCCGAGGTTTCCAGGGTCCATAACAAGGCAAAGAAGTTAGCAGCTGCACTCGAGCAGGTTGCAAATATCTTTTGCAAGAGAAATCGGGAAAGGTGGATTACCCTGAATTTGTTAGGCTCGCAATTCTGGCGACCACCATGCATCACGAATGGAGGCTCCCCGAATGAGAAAGGTTTCGATATTCGCCTTGACCCACTCAAACGTCATCCCACATCCAAATGGACGATAAACCACGCAGAAGTTGAGGCAATTTTGGGCCTTGCTTTATGGACTCTTATATCCGACCATCGTTTATCGTACTGCGAAGTAAGGTCTCAGCTTGAATCCTTTAGAGCTGAAGATGTACCAAAGAAGAGGATCATGTCAGCTGGTCTGGATTCACGCAAGATTAATGGGGAGCTAGAGTTGGTCTGTTGGCGGGGACTGCTCAAAGTCCAAGAACCGGGCCGCTTCACCTTTACCCGACATAGTATTTGTGAAAAGATGACACTTCCGCCAGAAACAAACCTCGACATGTAAACCGGGTGCAGTATATGAAGCGCCCATCAAAGGCCTCAAAGAGAGAAATTGGCTGGATATTCCAGGAGACGATGTGATTCCTGCACAGCGACTGTGCGGCTGGAGCTGTGTTCTGGGAGCGCACGAAAACATCCAGTGGACGAAGCAATCCTTGTCTGAAAAGGCACTCGGGCGCCCAAACGAGCTCCCCAAGGCGATCTGTGTTGAACTCAGTACAACAGGTTCATCTCTTTTGGACATCTGCACCCAAGAACTCTTCGGGGCTTTCTTAGCTCCACTGCAGATGCAGGGAGACGACGACGACAACTGCGCGTCAGTCCAGACAAGACATGACGTCCAACGTCTAGAAAAAAGGGCTGAGACTATCAAAGCTATTTCCCAAATAATTGTGGAGTCTGGCTTAGGCTCTGATGTAGATGCAGTTAATTGCATTCTTCCAGCTCTCGATTATCGCCAAATGGGTGACCGAGACAGAGTTATTTCGATCGTTTCATCAACTTGCGACTCATTCCTAGAGAGGTTTGAGCAAGCAGAGGCTTTGATGGTAGTCAATTATGCCATTGACGTCCTTCATCCTCGGGAAACTCGAGAGGAAGAGCGCTCCTTTGCGGGGGCTCTTTGTATGCTATCTAGAATCCAAAGGTTCGAGATGTGCAATAACAACGGCCCGAAGATGCACGGGTACCATGTTGAGCTTTATTATAAAATTTGGGAAGAGGCAACTGAAAGACCTATTGCAGGCCATCTTCGACTGTCGACAATTGAGGAGCTTCAAAGAATCCACCTACCCCCCTGGGGGTTTCGAGGAGCACATGGTGGCGAAAGGAGAGCAGTCTACAATGCTCTATTGGAAGCACTTGAGAAGAAAGACAGATTTGATACGATGCGTTCCCTTTGTTTTCTCACACGGAATGGTCTAGAATCATTATCAGCCGAAGAAAGCCATTTTGCCCGCGCGGCACTCCCACTAACCACGAAACAAGGGTGATTCGAGGCTGTAGACGCAATATTGAGCATGGGGTTTGATCCACCAGCTCAGGACGGGGCTGGAAGAACTGCGCTGGGTTACTGCGCTGAGTATGGCCAGTTTGAGCACGAGGTCTGCGCGGAAATAATTCTGAGCCATGGGAAAGCATTGGAAGCGTTGAAGTGTGTCTCATGGTCTACGGATGACGGGTGTACTCCGCTCTTGTTGGCAATCGACAAAGGCCACGAAGAAATGGTACGCATACTCTTGAAGAATGGATGCGCTGTAAACGAACAAGGAGGCCGGGAGTTCTCGCCGTTAGGCGATATCTTACCCCTAGGCGATGCAATCTCAAACGGCCACGAGGGTGTTGTCCGGCAGCTCATCGACGCAGGAGCCGCGCTTCGACCAGACCACGTCGATGCTGCAAAATACAGCAACTCACCTGGCATCAAGCAGTAGATCTTTGGTTACTTGACACTCCTGGTACACGAGAGCCCAGATTCTTGGATGGGGAATTTGCCCGACGTCATCGAGCACAGCGACTCTAAGGCCGTAAAAGTACTGCTAGATCGCGGGGCCAAGTACTCATTTGAGCGCATTGTACTTGCCGTCAGAAGAGGACAACTGGACGTCAAGAACCTGTTTTTGGAACTGGTACACAGCTATGTGGCCGAGTTTCCAAAAAACACGAGAGAATGGCTGTTGAAGCTGGCGGAGGAAGACGACCAGGACACCTTGCAAGCACTACCCGATCACGGCGCCTCAGTTGTCTAGGACAGCGCGTAAGCCTAAATAATGGCTTCAGGGAACAGTGTTGGTGCTTTCATTCTAAGCCAGCTGGATGAACGCTCTCAAATGAAGCCAAGTGTAAGAAGATCTTCAAGAATCCAGCGTATGGACGCGCTAGGTCGAATTTGTCAGGATCGCCTCATTCTGTATTTCAAAAACATCTCTAATGAGCCCTTTTTATTCATTTTTTAAAACAACGTGGAGAATGACGAGAGAATCAACGAGGTAGGGACAAGAGCATGCCTTTCATTTTCGTCTTTCAAGATGACAGTAATGGGGACAATTGGTCGCTATGAGGTATTCGTCCATCCGGTTACGTGAAGGTGTCTCCTCAGCTAGCAACACCCTCCATGGTCAGACTTAGTGGACCAGAAATCCTAATAAATGGCCTTTTGGGATTGGCAGCGGAAGGAGGATCTGGGCCTCTCTGCCTAGTCTCTCTGATGCTGTTGATCATTTGTTTTCCTCGCCCACACCCAAAACACCACTACCAAGGCATCCCACCTCCAAAACCTCAGGCACTCCTACCTCCTTCACCGCTAGAATGCGTCACCCATTCCGCGGTCAATGACTGATACCACTCCTCCCGGCGTCCGGCCCCCGAGCAGTGTGGGTGGGTGGATCCGGTAACACACCGGCGGCGGACCAATCCCGAAGGACACTCTGCGCGCCACGGGACCGTCCTTCACCCTCGGTGCGTGTGGAGAAATATGCCTGTACTTGTCTTGGTTCTCCAAATCTTCCTTGGCCGAGGTGAGACATTCGAGTTGGGTTGTTTCTCTGTACCGAAAAGCGATGCGACACATGAAAACCCCCCGTCAACAGCTTGGTCAGAATCCTACACTACCAATCCAATCACCCTTCGTCCACCGAACCACACCGAGCCCTCCCCCAACCCGTCACAACTCACACCGGCCACCACCAGCGCCATCACTAGTGTTGCGTCCTCAGGCCCGTCCCGCATCACAAACAAGGATCCTCCCTTCCCCATTGCCTACCCCAACCCAGGCTGCCTATTCCATCTACGCAAGCGCAGGCATCAACCTCGCCAAAACGCCACGGATGATTTGCGACGGCGCGAGATGAGTCGATCGCGTTAGGTAGCGAAATCGACATCGACATCGCAAGCACGTCAAATGCCAGGTTCCGACTAAAAAGTTCCCGATGTCGCGGGATCAGAAAGCCAGGCAACAATCACCCCGCCGTGTTCACGAAGTACCCCGCGGCTATCGATAAACAATCCCCTGCCCAAGCAACCCCCCCCCTTTAAGAACTCCAAAAAATCAAGAAACGCGATATCCTCCCAAATCCCAAATCCCACAATGCCGAGGCCCGTCACCACCTCGCGAATCTTCAAAGTCCCCCTCGCTTAAACCCTCAAACCCCGAACAGTGGTGTCCTGACTCACCCGGCCACCACCACATCCCCAAATCTTCAGACGAACGAACAGTAAAACGCCACGGATACGGGGGTTGTGTCTCGAGGTCCGGAGACCAGGGGGAGGCAGGTGAGACATGCATAGCCAAGCGATCACAAGGGCCGTTTTTCATATCAACAATACAGAAGATTTTCGTAGAATGTCACCGAATCGCGAGAATGGGGCTGTCTTTTTTGGTTTGAATCATCTTTGTTTTTACCTGGTTTGTTTGTGAGATTCTATGTATGCTGTCCAATTGCTGTGGTATCATCCAATCGCTATCCCGGCGATCATCCCTCCCCGACAAGTCCTGTTACCCTGCCAGAGGTGTAAATCAAGAAAAAAAAGATAAAAAAGGCAGAACGCTTGCTATCTAGAATACATGTGCATAATAATATCAGACGCGCAAAGATCTCTAAACAGAAAAGGCATTTGCGTGGTAAATGTGACTGGACCGTTTACTCCCAACGGTAGAGACCATCATCGTAGAGAACCCGGTGGCGCCGGCTGCCGGGACCCACAGTGGCCCTCCGGCGGGGCATCATTCGCTCCATCAAGCGGCGGCGCTGGGCCTCGTCCTCCTCCTCGCGCTCGCGCTGCTCGCGGGCACGACGCTCAGCAGCGAGGCGCTCGTTGATCCCCAAACGGCGGACAGCGTCAACAAGCTCCTGGTCCGAAGACAAAGGAACGTTGGCGTAGCCGGTCGAAGAGCGCTTAAAAGGGGCAGGAGGAACGGGGACGGCCGGGCGGCGGGAGATCTTCTCGTTCTGGGCATTGATGCGCTCGAGAATGCGCTGCCTTCGCCCCGCCTCCTCGGCCGCACGCTCACGCTCCTCGCGATCCTCACGTTCCTTGCGCTCCTTATCCTTACGTCGGCGTCGGCGCTCCTCGTCCTCGGCGCTGGAGTGGCTGTGCTTAGAGTCCTGGGAGCGATGGCGGCGGTGGCCGCCGTCGATAACCTCAATCTCAACCTTGGGAGGGCGCGGGCGCTCGTCAACAATGACGGGGCGAAGATTGTGGGAGCCGCGAGGGACGTGGCTGTAGCGGAAGTGAGGCTCGTCGCCAGCGTTGGGGGAGGGCGGCGCGGTGTAAGGCGTGGAGAACTGCTTGGGTGGTGTGCGCGGGGTGGGAGGAGAGTCGACAATCACAATGCGCTCGGCGCGAGAGCGGTTCTTGCGGTTCAAGTCGAGGACCCTCTGACCGTTGACGTAGATACCCGATGCTCGGCGCTTCCTGTCGCTGGAGGAGGAGCTGGTGCGGGGCCGGGGAGACTCAGCAGACTGGCCGCGAGGTGAGGACATTGGCGGCGAGGGAGGCAGTTGCTGAGGGTATTGAGCAGGGTAGCCAGCCATTTGTGTGGGATAGCCGACGGAGCGGGGCGGGTGGTTGTAGACGACTGGGTTGCCGCAGAGGCGGCCGTTGCGAGAGTGGGAGCAGAGGTTTGGTGTTTGGTACTCGCTGCGACGGCCGTCTGGGTAGACGTCGGTGTAGACGTCTGTGGTGCACATGGTGGTGTCTGGTTGGAACGTATGAGTGCGCGGCGTGCGCTGGGGTGGTGCCGGTTGGACGATCTCTGGAGCAAAGCGAACTCGCTTCTCGGTGGTCGTCAACGTGGAAGATTGTTGGAGTGCGCTCCGAGTATTGGCGGAGCGGCGAGACTTGTGCTTCAACACTATGGTGTTGTCAAGGTACAGAGCTTCGGGAGCACGAGTGGAGGACAATGTGTCGGTGCCAACAGGCTGTATTGAAGACCGAGTGTTGTTGGTTGGAGGTTGTCTGAGTAGTGAAAGTGTAAGTTGGTTGGTGCTTCAAGATATTATGCAGGTGATTGTTGGAGAATTAAATACCAGATGACTGAGGTCGAAGACGAGAGAGCAGAGGCTGAAAAGTATCTGCCTAAGTTTAGACGGGTGCGGGTGGATCGACAGGGCCGGGATAGATTGGGGTAGCGTTCTTCGTCTATGTGGGAAAGAATCAAAGTGTAAAAACGTTTGGGTGGATAGTGCGAGCAAAGTAGAACGGCGTGGTCTGGGGAGAAACCGCGTCTGAATTATATCGTCTGCTCGCGTTCGAAGGTGAGTACGAGCAGGGGGGGGGGGGGGCCGAAAGTCGAAAGTCGACGAAGTACGCCGCAGCAGCAGCCACGATGGCAGCGGACGGAGGTACCGCAGGAAGAGCCAACAGCTAGAGACGCAAGTCGTGGGATGGTGGAGATTGAGGCCTTGTAGGCCTTACAAGGTGTAATGCGCCTGCGATGCATGCCACCATGATCCAACCCCTGCCTGCGTCTGCCTGAATGAGTGGCCGATGAGTCTTCACTAGACCCTTTTCGTACGACTGGGGGTCTCTGTTCGGGAGGGGGAGTCGCTGGAGGGTGTTTCTCTTTGTCTCTCGCACGTTTTGCGACGCCGCGCAGTACTTCTCTCTGACGATTCACAGCCTTCGCAGCTGGGAGGCCTAGGGGCTCAGCACCGACCAACTGACTTTGGTGGAGGGCGCAGGGGGTGCCCGTAAGCTGCCAATGCGAAGAAGGACGGAGGGAACCAAGGACTCCGGAATGGTTGACAACTCTCGCGGGACCCCGCTCCGTGTGTCTTTTGAGTCCCCGTTGTATTGGCCTTGCATATGGGGACTTGTGGGTGTGGTCGTGTTCGTCGAGATGTACGTCGCGTTGGGAATCTTGGTGTGGTGTGTGTCTCTCTGGCTGATGTGGTGATGCACAATGGCGACAGAACCGACTGGCTGGACGCCGGCGCGGTCTCTCGTCAGGCCTGGCTGGCCAGGACCGGCCACCACGGGCGCCCGGCGACGTCTCGGTAACCTCGTTGGGATACCAAGGTGAAGAGGTCTTCATTTGTTAATGGTGGTGTGGTCCGTCGCAGCCTTCTCTGATAGATGACGGACCCAGGTCAAACTGAAAAGGCTGAAGGCTGAAAAAAGGCGAAACGATATTTTCCGGCGATATGATGCTATTTTCTGCACAGCCCTCAATGCCCATCATCGCGCTCATGGCCGTCGTCCCCCGGCCGTCAATCTATTTGACCCGGGGGAGGGGCCCGGCCCACGGGTCCAATCGTGGAGCACAGCGACAATGACCGCGAGGGCGGCCGTGCTAGCGACAGCGGCAATCGAAACACGCACATGGTGACATTTGTGGTCTGTGTTCGCGGTTGACATAGAGGGTTTATCGATATTGTTGACTTTTGACGATGATTCAGTCGGACAAGCGACAGACGCCGTCTTGCACGAGTCGCGAACGGTTCCATTCTCGCAGGAATCCATCCGAATCTGGCGTCCAGTCACCCCGACAGAATCTGCGAGTTGAGTCTTTGGCGATGGTCATGAGCGAATAGCATCGCGCAAAGCCTGAGTCATCTTGCCGTGTCCCGTCCTCGAAGCTCATGCAAGCTCTTTGTCCATCGCTGGTCGACTCCGCGGGTCACAAACAACCACAGCATCCCGCCCCGGAGGCCCGTGACGTCCATGCCCACATCGTGGACCTGCATCGGCTGCAGCAGGCCATGATGGAGGTTGGTAGGTAATCGATCGTACCATGACGGCAGCGACGCATCGTCAGAGGGCTTGTTTGACGAGGGGCTTCAGGCTCGGGTACGCTCGCCGTGCCGTGGCCGTTGGCCTCTTTGTTGATGGCCCTGTCGAAGGATCGCAGTGTCTGCAAGGGGAAGCCACAAGCCACCCACTCGTCTGGACAAGCATTCCGAGCAAACGTCGAATGCTGTTCGTCCGAGCAGGGCAGCAAGCGTAGCGAGTGCGCGAAGGATTGCGATGAAAAATGTTAGTGTGCGGGTGGCCGGGCTGTGCACATCTCTAACGCTTCTTGAGCTTCCGCTAAGCCACCGTAGCCTGCTTCCCGTCGGTCCAACCGATGCACCAAGGCCTTGTTTCCCGCAGACGGGAAGCAGGAGAAGCTTAGAATTTTCATCAACGCGATTACTTGCGTCGTCCGTGAGCAGCGGCAGAGCGGGGTGCATGTCCATGGGTGAGGTGTCTGGTCGCATGGCAGCAGCATCGTGGATGTGTGTTGTCGGCTCGTTTCTTTCCTTTTTTGGTGTTGCTCCTTCTGAAGGTGACACAAAACACGATTGGAAAAAAATGGAAGGTGCTGTCGCTGTCGCTGTCACTGGAAGGCGCCCCACACCGCTCTTTCCCCACCTGCTCGCTGCATCCAAGGCACGTACCTTACCTCATGCCACGCTTCAACTGGCAGCAGCAGCAGAAGCAGCAGAAGCAGCAGCAGCAACCACCAGGCAGCCGTCGCTCTTTCCCTCCGACAGAAAATCCAGACCTCGATGACTAAGTCAGCTGAAGGTCACCCGATCAGGTTCACCTCGGCTTCCCTTGGGCTTCTGCCTGCAGCAACACACCAACGACCGCACACCAGAGAGTCCTAGATGGGACTCCAGAGTCCTGTTGACGCCAGCTCGCCGACCCCTGCATTACTCACTTGTTTCGACTGCCTCCTCGACATCTACGCCGCAGACAGAAACGAATCCATTTTCAAGTCTTGCTACCCGCTGGCTTACATTCCATTGGCTCGTGGCCGCCGCTTCTCCCTTCTCAACAGCAACCACCTCGGCCCAGACGCGTCAATTTCTGCAAACACGCCCTGATCCTTCGTCGAGTCGCCTCTTTTCTTTTGTCAGAGAACTGCGGCAGCCCTCGTTCTAGCGCCCGCTCGCCACCCGTCATCCCATTCATACACACAGACGCAGGCATACGGTCCGTTGCGCGTTCGACGCGGCAATCCTTTCTACATGGTCAAGCTGGATGGAATGGCCAACCTGCGTTTGCCATGACGCCGCCACATTGGCATCCCGAAATACCTGCTTGAACTTCTCGACACGGCAACCCCTCCGTGCCCTCTCATGCACGCAAGGCTGCAGGATCACCTACCATGTCGTCCATTACGAACTAGCCCTTGGCAGTACGTACACACATCTACACAGCGAACGAAGTCCTGTGCCTCCCATTCAGCCCCCATTTGGGGGCCGTCTCTACATCATATCCGGAGGCCGCTCGCGAATGCTTTTTCGTCCATAGCGATGTATGCGCCAAAATCTCACTCGGCCTTCATTTCCACCATTCCGATATCCTGTTTCTCTAGCCGCGCGGAGGACTCTGGACTCAATCAGAAATGAGGTGGCGTTTGCTCAGCCTTACGAGGCAGAATCGCTCGTCCGGTGTGAGGGTCTTGTGTTGCCGCGCCGGAGCTAAGAATCCACCCTCAGGGCTACCTCCGAGTCCGGACACCCTGCGGGTACCTCGGGGTCGCTGCTCCGTGCTTGGTCGACTAGCGCATGCCTACGTATCCGGACAAGGAACCCTTCGCTGTCTCGGAGCATGGAAACCCATCCATTCATACCCGCTGCACGTCATGCTGGCGATTTGACTTTTGGATGCTGTTACTGGAAGGCAGTTCGGCTCAATCAGCGTTTCTCGGCAAAGTCGTTCTCGCCGACTTGAACTCGACTCATTACTGTCTACACTTTTGCTATCATGTTCCGTGGTACCAAACTACTGCCGTGTCACGCGCGGTCCTGTCAACGCCCAACGTCTGCCTTGCATCCTCTGGAAACTATGCTGCAAGTCGCCCTAGCCTCTACGAGATCATATTCAATTCCCACCAGCAGGAAATGACTTTGTCCACTTCAACTTCCCAGCCGTTTTTGCCACCATCCTTCGGCTTCTTGATGACTCCACTGTCTCGGTGTAAGCCGTCTACGGCTGGGCCTCTTTCGTAATCGACTGCCTAGGCACAAGGTTCCACGTGCCGTCGGCTCTCTTGATGCGAGGGTTGGTCTTGCTGGGCTTCATCTCAGCCCGTTCCTCCACGTCCCGCTTGTGTGCGGCTTTCGTCTCCGACTGACGAGGTACGAGGTTGAATGTACCATCGGCTCGCTTAACGCGGGGGTTTGTTTTGGTCGCCTCAATATCTCGCTTGTCTGCAGCCTTGGTCTCTGACTGGCGGGGCACCAAGTTGAAGGTACCGTCAGCCCTCTTGAGCCTCGGGTTGGTCTTCGTCGCCTCCAAGCTGCGCTTATCCGCTGCCTTCGTCTCCGATTGTCGGGGGACCAGGTTGAATGTGCCATCTGCCCTCTTGGCTCGAGGGTTTGTCTTGGTTGCCTCGAGGTCCCGCTTCTGGAGTATCCCGTCTTCAACGTCATCTGTCACGGCATCGGATCGCTTGGGCTGCAGATGCCAGGTACCTTCAGCTCGAACGAAGCGAGGGTTTGCCTTGGTCGCCTCCAGGTTTCTAGGCTGCAGGTTCCAAGCACCTTCGGTGCGTTTGTCATGGGGGTTGGATTGGGCACCAGCCAAACCATCCTTCGATGCAGGTGAACAGGAGATTATGTTGTGTGGCGACATAAACTTACAGCAACAAGAGCGCCAGCGCTGGCCAAAACAACGAGAGTTGAAATAAGCTTCATTGTGACTTCACGGAAGTGCGTGCTTTGAGTTTCTTTGGTAAATGGAGGTTATCAAAGGGCTCCCTGGGATCAAGACGGGTGGGAGCCGGTGCAGGAGTCAAATACTTCTACTCATGTCTTCCAGGCTCAGGTCGATCGACTAGAGAAGTGCCGATCATGTAGACCGCTCTTTTTCTAGCAACGGAAGCACGTTGCATTGTTTCCTGGAACCGAAACCTGTTCTGGCCCCAGGCAACGCGTGGCGTGCGAGGTCTTGGCTTGCCTCGGGGCCATCGCTTTGATGCTGGATATCTCCGGGAATTCCGGGAAGAGCCTGGCATGTTTGGACGTTTACAGCAGATGGCGGCGGGAGTTTCCCAAACAAATGGAACGAACGATCCATATTCCATGGCTATGGCCCAGGCTTGAGTGCGTGATCCAAGTGGGCTATCGTTGCTTCAGCGCTCATCTGGAAAATCGGCACTTGTGCGCCGTGTGCAAAAACCACCACTGACCTGACTCGGTTGATCAAAGACATCAACCTCCGAGGTATTCGCATATCTACAGGGCCATTTCGGGTGGAGAAACTCGCGATCTCTCAGCCGTTGATGAATCTTTGCTTTCCATCGTAAGGGCACGGCGGCACAGCTTAACGAACATACGACGTGCACGGCATCAACGTAAAGACGCCCGGAGCAGTCCGATGTTTTGCCATCGTCTAGAGTCTGACTCGTGACGGGCTGCGGTGCTGAACAGGACGCCGACAATTCAGCGCGACGCGCATTTGGATCGGCGGAAGGTTTCAAAGGAGCCGTTTCAGTGGTGGTCTTTCTGAAAGTTTATTTGAGTGGTTGTTGTGGGGATCAGATGATCCGAGTCTGCTCAACTTGGGACCCCAACTGACTTCTTGTCGGAATAGCGAGAAGCTTGGGACCGAGCGAGATTTTCCCGATGGACTATCCCCAAGACGCGCACATGCTGCGAACATGCGCGGCAAACGATCTTTCTGGAAAGTTGAAAAGGTCATCTGGCATTCCTTGTCCCCCGTTTCGCATACGCAAACTCTCGCGCCATGTCGTCTAAGGCCCCGGCTCAGAGCCGGTGGGCAAGTTCGTCTTTATTGGCGCTGATCCTCCCGGTCGCTATGCTCTACCTTCTCACGCCGTCCCTGAACGTTTGGTGGAAGACGTTTATTTCGGCCCAAAATGATCTGCACGCCGGCGAACTCGCTCGCGCCGCCATCTCCGAAGCCTCATGGCTGAGATCCGTCCGGCAGCGACACGATTGGATGGAAAAGAATCAAGACTATGACGACACGCTGTCAGCCCTTCACTCTGCCCACTGATCGTCACTGAGTACCTGCTAACATTTGAGCTAGATTCTCACCCAGAGATGAGTCTCTCCGCTTCTGGTACACGCTCTGGGACCTCTTCCCCGCGACGTATAGCTGCCCCTGGGACCTGCAGCGCGTCGGCAAGCTCGGCGACGGCGGCAAGTGGATTTGCGGGATGAGCAAGTATGCCGCCGACCGCGCCTCGGCGCAGCGACCCTTGAGAGTGTACAGCTTCGGCGTCGGGAGCGACTCCACGTTCGAGGAGGAGTTCCTCAACCGCTCGTCGCGTGCGGAGGTGTGGGGTTTCGACGACACGGTGGAGATGTGGGGTCGCGGACTCGACGGGCACGCGTACGAGCACCGGGCGCATCTCTCCAAGGCGGCGGTCGCGGGGTACGACTTCTACGATGAGAAGGATAAGACCCAGTTTTGGTCTATCAGCAGCATCATGAAGAAACTAGGGCACGACTATGTGGATCTTGTCAAGATGGACGTTGAAGGCGATGAGTTCCCGACGTTGGAGGCCTTTTTGGAGGAGTTTAAGACGGAGGGGAAGGAGGTGCCGTTCGGGCAGCTTGTGATCGAGATCCACGTGCCGGAGAAGGGGCCGAAGATCAGCCAATTCGCGGAGTGGTGGGAGCGGATGGAGGGGCTCGGGTTAAGGCCTGTCATGAGCGAGGCGAATTTGCTGGCTGTTACTGTGGGGGACGGACAGCCTTGCTGTGTTGAGGTGAGTTTTCTTTGAGTGATGATGATGGTTTGTGCGTGAAAGCTGACTTGAAGGCAGTATACTTGGATTAATACGAGGGATAGTCGGGGCATTTTGTGGGAGTGATGCTGTGGGCTGCTCCGGGACGGGGTTGAATCTAGGAGGGGACTGTCATCGGAGATAACACGGATCGTGATGTGTGCTGTTTTACCTAGTCACTTGAAAGCTGGCTACCACCATAATGGCGCAAATTCAAGCTCTAGAACCATGATGGCTACCTCCCCATTTCCACAGAGATCATCGTCTGTGGTTCTCGCTGGAGATACGCCATTGCCTACTGTCGGGTCTATTGTCACTTCATGTCAGGTGACCGACTCAAGCCTCCATCATCCCACCGGAAGTCGTTCATGAGCCTCAAGTACGGCATTTGACGTAATCGCGGGGGCTGGATAATACCTCCTGCTACTTGCACCTCCACGAGACTAGGATCCGGGAGGTCCACGGAGGTGTGCGGCGCTTCTCAGGTCTTACGATTGATCGTGACGTAAGCGAGTCAATCAATTGAGTAGAACGGTGCTGGTCTTCCTTCCGCCTGAGGAGAGGCGCCGCATTGCCAGTCCCAAGAAGCCAGTCGCCAGAACTCCTGGGTGTGTCGGCCAGCCCGGTTACGAGGGCCTTATAAGCCTCCCCCGGTCCTTCGCGGGCTTTGTTTTCTTTCCTATTCCGTGAAGGTTACTCGGTCCCTCGTAGGCTTCAAGTACGAGAAGTACTAGTTATCTAGCAGACGCTTTTGGGCTGCCAGTAATCGGGAAGAAAGGTGGCGAGAGGTGGGCCTTTCTTAGACGCCGACCAGGCTCTAGAGCGAAAACTGTAAAGGCGGCATGACATAGCTCAAAACGCTGGCAACGAGACGCGGAGGGTGTTGCTAGGGCAGGTCCGGGCGAAGTTGGGGGCTCAGAGTCCTTAAATGCTGTCTGAGAAAGATCGCAAGCGACCGCCATATAAGGTGGCCATTGCATACAGCATGGCGTGGTTATGTTGGCTCCCACAGTAAATCTGACCATGCTTAAGCGGTGATTTTCAGAAATGCTACCTCATAGTAGGGGCATTATCAAGACCAAGCATTCATGAGTCGGTTTTGTGTCCAGCTGAAGGTAACTACACCTGTCCCACGGTCTTAAAGGTTAGTGCGGTTCTTGCGGGGCTTTCCATATAACGAAGCCCCGCAAGTACTACGCTAACCTTTAACACCGTGGGATAGGTGTAGCCCCCACGGGATTCGGGCGAACCTTGTCGGATTTGGGTCCGAAATACCAGTGCAGCAGACCTCGGGTGCGCCATGACGGTGCTTCCCCCGAGCCGAGGGTGCTGGGTAGACTCGCATGCAAGGAACAACCCGAGAAAACACGAGAGCGAGTAACCTAAATATATGCGGTAATAAATCAAGACATTTTACGCTTCTTTGTCTGGTCATTACTTTCCTCAGTCATCCGCAAGGGCGCGCTTCTGCTCAGATTGACGTAGCGAACGAGGATTATATCACGGGATAGGGCGATCTTATATACACCACTTTAATGGATGAGAACCTGAGACGTTGCGTGACCTTTAAAAGCCCTGGTAATTAGCCCCAGGCAGGTATGGTAGGGCTAACAACGATGACGGGTCCATCTGCAGCTGATGCTGACGCACAGGACACTCAAGCAAGCAGGCCTGTTGTAAAGGCTGCTTTAGCTGACACAAATCAGGACCGAAAGTAGGCCTCAGAAAGTGTGATCAACCTAGGTAGTGAGGTTGAATGCTTGGCGAGGTCATCGCTAGAACCAACTTTTATAATGGTAGGCCTGACAGGTCTCCTGTCTGGGTAACTCATGTACAGAGGACCACTAGAAGTGCTATCGGACCGGGTGTCTCAGTGGATCGTGGTACAAGGCGGACGGAGTTCGATCTAATCAGCGAGGACCGGTGCTTTTCTCACGCTAATCGCAATCTCTAAGATCGAGAGAGATTCGAGATTGAGGTGCTCTTTATATCTTAGTCCACTGGCAACTGATGGGGATACCCAGTACTGGAAAGACACGCAGTCCTCCCAAGAACCAATACCGTCTAGTGCGCAAGGCGCGCGCCAACAGCTTCTTCCAGCACGGCGGATACACTAACCTGTAAGGTACTAACGCAGGGCATGACGGCCTCGCTGGCCAAGGTTCCAGAAACCTTTCTCGGGGGACCCCGAGCAGGGACGTGGGATGGAATGTCTCACGGCCGATCCACCATTTTCCACAGCAAGTCGGCGATTGTGGCTTTCTCCCGGCCCGCCGGTGCGCTCGGCATGCAATTTCTCAGGAACATAATTACCGGCCCATCTTACACAGCCCCAGTCTGTCACCTTTCTTGTAAACATTCTACAGATGCTTGTTGATCGCGACAGGCAACAGATCTTGCCACAAAGAAGCATAATTCTCGATTCCGGGGGGTGTCAGCGTTGTCACATTTTGCGGCCCTAACTCCCCTGACGAACCGTGTCGCTTACCACAATAGAGTCTCAAAGGTTGTCTTATTTCCCCCCAAAGTATAGTGACCCGTGGGTCCTCTTCCCCGTTTAGGCAAGAACGTCTACCCCGTCCCAGAAAGGCAAAAAAAAAATAAAAGGGCCAACAGCCTTTCGACAATAACTTCTCTCAAACTCAAGCTGAGGCTTGGCTAGGGCGGCGGGGTACTCGCTGTACGACATGCTCGGCATCTGGTATCCGTCCACCCTGGGCTCGCGAGTCAAGATCGGGCACGCCTGGTTACCCATGTTGCGAGTTTGATTTGACGTCGGCGGGGGGTTCGCATGGCCGCGGCATGATTACTCGCACACACACACACGCGCGACTTCGGTTCGCTGCGTCACTGGGTGGGCGCGGGGGGGCCATCATACTGGGGCCGCTGTCAAACTCTTAGTTAGCTATCGGCAATCTTTCGTCAGATGACCAGATAAGGACCAGACGACGCCAAGGCCCACGGGTTGTATGGTTGAATTGCGTCCGCCTTAAGAGTGGGCACTTCAGGGCGGCAGAGTGCGCTCAGGCGATCTTTAGACCCTCTTTACCGTCTGGTCTGAACTAATTATAACCCGGCTGAGCCTTCGACTTCCATTTACCTCTGGCGAAGCTAAAGATGCTTCTTTGATTAATCTTCTACCTGTCACTGAGGCGGTAGGCCTCACAAGGCTTACTATCATGTAGAATTTCTACCGGCGAACGGCGTCTACGGATGCTGTGTAATTTCCTCACTTTTCAAGCAAATAGAAATAATCCCTTGACAGCCCACGTTTTTTTTTCACAATGGCTCCCCACTCGCTAGGCCACACACTCTTTCATTCTTTGAAATGCTACGTTCTTTCACTCCATTCGTTTCAATTTTGTCGCTGGTCCTGACTTCAGGGCCAGCCGCGGTCTTGGGTCACAAGGGCCATGGCCTTTCCGCCCGTGATTCCCGGTCCATGGACCAGGCGCTACGTTCCTTGAGCAGAAGAGCGTTAGACGGCTACTTCGTCATCGACACAGAGATAGGCAGCGAGTGGGGCTGCAGTGAGGCCAAGATCGCCAGGCTGCCGCAGATTATCAACGACGCCCAGGCGCTGGCCACAATCGCATCCGCCGTGCTTGCGGAGCCGGACACTGAGTTCTCCGATGCGTTCGTCTTGTGGTTTGGTGGTAAGAGAGCCCCCCTATGCCACTTGTAAGATTCCGTGGCGCAACGCGGAGACTGACACACCGGTCATACAGACACAAACTCCAAGGCCGACTTGCGAAAGACCCTGAAGCAGTCCAACTACGACTCGGTGCTAACTTACCTCAAGCCGCCGTCGGCGAACAACCGCGTCGCCGACATGCTCATGGACAACCTCAGCCCCACCGGTCTGACGTACATGTGCGCGGCCGCAGACAACAGCATGTGCTCGGGCGGCTTGGTGGCCGGAGCTCACCAGCACGGCGCCGGAGGACTGTCGGGCCACTCCATCGTTTTGTGCGACAGTTTCTTCGACGGTGTGTCGAACCAGGAGATGCTTGGGTTCTGGCAAGAGAACAGGAGGCTCAAGGGTTCTTCGGGCTTCTACCTGCTGCACGAGGTACAGCACTTGGCCGCATTTGTGGGCGACAACCGGCGATGCATCGACGTTCCTGACCCAGCCTACCCTGATGGCAGTGGTTGCTACGATGCAGGATGGTAAGAACAACATTGGCCCCGGCCTGGTGAAATCCTCGCTAACACATCGCGCTCAGCTGTTCGAGACTTGCGCCCAAGGATAAGATCCAGAACGCCCAAAACATGGCTTTCTTCGCCTTGGAAGTGATGGCGAACCCCGAAAGTGGCGCGCCGCCTGGCGGTTCTTGCACCATCATGAAGAGAGACAGTCCCGACATGCTTCTGGGAGGAACGGAGGACCTCATGGCCAGGTCAGGCTACAGCCCGAGGGATGAGTACGAAGCATTCCTTCGCAGACAAGCCGGACCGGCGTCGACGTTGAGCTCGATGAGGAGAAATGCCACAAGCTCACGCCCGCCCACCCGCTCGACTTCAAGAAGACCCAGTGGTGAGGCCACGCCCTCTGGACCTGTTGACGACATCCCCGCAACCGGCTCTCGTCCTGCTACCAACAAGCCCGCAACACCCTCCCGCTCGGCAAGCGAGAAGCCAGCCGCGCCCTCTGGGTCGGCAAGCAAGCCTCCAGGAACGCCTTCTCGCCCTGCGACAGACAAGCCTGCAACGCCTTCTCGTTCCGCAAGCGGCGCTCCAGGAACACCTTCGCGGCCCGCGACCAACAACCCAGCCACACCCTCTCGTCCAGCGAGCAGCGGCCCTGCTGGTACGCCGTCCCGCCCGGCAGGCGACGCCCCCGTCTTCACCACGCGGCCGCCCGCTTCCCTGATGTCCTCCTCGGGCGTTTCTTACTCCATTTACTACTCCACCGCGCCGCCCACAACGGACGACGGCGGAGTGCCCATCATTCCCATCGTGCCCGTTCCCATCCCCATTGCCCCGGTCGTTCCTCCCGTTGTTCCCCCTGTCGGTGGCGGCGGCGGTGGCGGCGGCAACGACAATCCCGGCAACAACCCCACCAAGCCGGCCGAGCCTTCGGCGCAGCCCTCCGCCCAGCCGACTTCGGCCCCACTGACCTCCGAGCCCGATGCCCCGCCCACTTCGGCCCCTCCGTCCTCAGCCCCTCCATCGTCCTCGCGACCCGCCTCGTCAGCTACGCCCTGCTCGTCAAAGGCACCTCTCCCCGCCGTTCCCACGGGAGGTGGCACGCCCGGCGATCGGGACGGCTTCCCCCAGGCCGTCTACGATAATCTCAAGAAGAAGGCAGCCCCTACCACGGCACCGCCGGCCACCAGCACCGTGCCCCCTCCGCCCCCGCCGACGAGCAGTGACAGCTCCATCCTTGAGACAGCCGAGCCGTTGCCTTCTGCGACGGCCGCTCCCGTTCAGCCGGTGGCTTGTTACAACTTCAATGTTAATGCGTACGGATACTGCTGCCGTGGACCTGATAGTCCGTGCGAGAAGGATCTTGGCACATGCTACTACGGAGGAACTGGTGTTACTGGAGGTGCGACTAATGTGGTGCCTGATGGTGCTACCTGCCCTCCTCCCGCGGATGCCAAGTCTTAAAGTGGTTGATCTGGGGGCAGGATTGAGTCTTGTGTTGGATAGCTAGGTAACGGCGGGTGCCGTTGGTTATGAGCTCCATGTAGTTTTATGAGGAACTGTCAGGGGAAGAATGAGGAAACGAAATACTAAATAACCTATTCCGAAAGCATAAAGTGTTCACATATGCGTGTTATGTCGCATCTTGTAGGTCACAATGACTGGCAAAACTCATACTTCCTCGGGCATATCTTGAGAACTAGGCCCAAGCCATGGTCTATGATCAATCAGCCTCCGCCTAAGTCGTTGAGGTAGACTCCCTTCAGGTGCAGCATAAGTGCAGTGACAACAGAGCCCTGGTGACGTGAAGCAATGACTTAAATCACGCAGGGAAGTCGTATCATCGTTCAAGTTCTCACCCGTGAGGCAATATTTAAGTCCCATTGCTATGTTGATTTTGACGTTGATTGAAGTAAGAACATCACCGACGCAATGACATGCCATCTCCCAAAGTCTCCTCTCCAGAAAGTATGTCAACCGTATAACTAATACTCAGAGGAACCAGTTCCTGTACTAACTACATGTTGATTAATTATCTTCACCCTTAGCGCTTCTTGTCGCTGTTTTGGAACGGCTTGGCTTGTCCATCCCTCGACATCGCTTGGACATGCGACCAAGGCAAGTCAGACTCGAACTACCGAGCCATTGTATCCTCGAGTGCCCCATCCTGGCAATTTTGAACCCTGGTTTTATTGACATTCGAAGTCGTGGTGTGGGTCATACCGGACTGGGTGTGCAGTCGAGTTGTAAACGGATTACTGTGTAAGAGCAGGGGCTGTCAGAGATGGGCACTACGTCACTTTGCCAATGCTATGATTGGCCTAGGGGGGCGTGGAGGTAAACTTACTGTCTTGAGGAATGGGGGTTCATTTTGGAAATAATGGTCTCGAACAGCGACTTGCTTCTGTAAGTTCAGAAAATTAAAGCGTCTAATGATAAGAATTGTACTTGCGATTGGAGGTGGGGTGAACGAGCTGGAAGATGGAGAAGTAAACTCACTCCATGATGGACATTGGGTGATTTTATATTTTACGAGGAGTTCTGTTATCCTTCGTTTTCTTCACAAAATCTTTCCTCGTCTTGAGGCGAACCTCTCAGCCGCCTAAATAGCATGACGCCTGCTGCAGGATTTTGCTGTCCATGCCAGCGCGAGCCAGCCGATTCCGAAGACGAGATCGCGTGCGGTGTGGTGGCACACAAATTTAATTGGCCAAGTGACACCCCGCGCTAGCGTAGTCTGTTCCAAAGGAGGGGTTTTATGCAAGGGTTTTGCAAGACCTGCTGCGCCCCTACGAGGTCGTATTATGTCCCAACACAGATCATTAACCATACGCAAATAACACTTTTGGTGAAAGATGCCTTCAAATCTTTAAAATGAACGCGGATGTCGTAAGCCTTATGTTACTAACCCGGGCATTCTGGCTCGACCATTCTTGTTCTTCTACAGTTGCCTTAAGCTGGCCCGGTTTTGTTATTTCTCATTCAATGATTCAATGTTATTTTCTGTGGTGGCATTTTACATGTTTTGCCGCCCAGTTGCCTTCATCTTGAGCGATTTTAGACCTAGGCGATTTGCGACAAACCTCTGGTTCAAGTCGCCTCGATGTCACTGTATGGTAGCCGCGATCGTGTAGGTGCAAGACGCCCAGCAAACATCAAGAGTGGGCGTTTCCCTCATGCAACTAGCTATGTCGCCGGGACTCTGCACTAGGGCGTGGAGACGTTACCAACTTGGCAGCATTAGAAGTCGGCCGGCTCCACTATCGGATTTTCGTGCGTACAGGGGGGGTCCGGGGCCAACAATAACACTGAAAGACATATCCATCCACGTCACCTCTGATTCTCGTCGGTCACATTCGGGGTTGCTAGATTTTCCACACTCTCTGCTATCACCTGGCCAGGACTCCTGTCTGACATCCGAGGAAAAGTCGCGCCACAAACTGAAGCCGCGGTTATTTCTCTCAGGACGCCAAGACTCAACCAATTCCACAATAATCCCTGATAAAAAGGGTTCCTTGGATTGGAATTCTCGTAGAATTTGTTCTAAGACTTACACAGTGGCTTTCTTTGATTCTTGGGGGTGGACGATTGAGCGAAGACGCGTTGTACTGCTTAGGGATTGGTCACCATCAAATCATCGACGAGTTTCACATACGAAGAGCGTGGTGGGTGTTAGTTATTTCTACATTACCTAGGCCTAAACTCATCGTTATTATTTGTTGAGCGACTATAAAATACGTATATTCTGTTGGTTTATACTACTTTCGCTTGGGTGCCTCACTATAGGTTCACTTTAGTCAGTTGTCAGAGTTGCGATGTTGTACTTTGGTTAGTATCGATTCAGAGAAGAAGACATCTAGTTTGGTGAGCCTCGGAGTCCTGCCAGTATGCACCAGCGATCCAGATTCTCTTGGCGGAGTCCTTCAGCTGAAGTCACCCACTTGAAGCTCGCTCACCAGGACTCCCGCCTCTCAGCAGCACTGGTTTCGTAAAAGGCGGCATTACTTCAAGTTTGCCTCATTTTTGAGAAAGGTTCAGGTGTAGAATGAGGAGAGAGGAACATATTGTTTCACAAACATACATGAGCATGCTTGCTAGCCTGCCTAATGAAGCCCAAGGCTTGATATTAATCTACCGTCAAACCTGTTATTCTGTTTGGCGGAGTTAGCTACACCCGTATGAATTTGTATTTCCTGCGCCAATCTCTTCAAGTCAGAACAGCATTCACCATTTGCCTCAAGATTTAAAGTCGTCTTTGATCAACAGGTACCGCAGAGCAGTAGACTCAGAACAGATTTTATGTTCTAAAATCTATCCATTCTATCACGTCACTCTTAAGCGGTACTTCGACGGAATTTCTTGTGGAAAAGTAGTATGTTATTATTGGGGGCCCAGCGCTGATTTATTTCCCAAACCCTTCGAGGCAAATAGAAGTTTAAGCTTGATGGCGTTATCGCTATCGCGATATTGCCTTCAGTGTTCTAACACATTGAAGGCATGATACTTCAGACAGTGACGAGCTGCATCGTGAAACCTCCTTTCTATCTAGGCCTTGGATGGCACAGGTTGGTCTGGAAGGACCTGGATCCCTCGCAGAATTCCGCATGATAACTAACACAATTCATCTCAATTTTTCTTGCCGCTCGCTTGACATGAAGTCCCCTGCGACCTGGACACGGCGTCAACGTGCGACCATGGCAGATCGAAGCTCAGGTAGCGAGACATTCTGTCCTTAAGTCCTTCCCCTTCAGCCTCTAGACGCTTTGTGGTATCGATTATCGAAGTCTTCGTGTGCTTTATACGCGAGACATGTTCCTGTTGAGGATGTTGGGGCTCGGTTCTGCCAGAGGAAAGTGAATATCAGCTAATTATCTCACTAAGACTAAGATCAACGGAATCAGGGGACAGCTTACTGATCTTGGAGGTGGGAGCCTATTTCTAAAAAAGCGATATCAGAGGAAGGCAATGATATCAATATTTGAAGACTGTAGCGTCGTGTGTGAATAATCAGGCTTGTGACTATGTGGAGTTGGAGTGAAGAAACTGGCTGAAAGCCAAAGCATCCCTTCACGGACGTCCCTTATTTGATACATTTTGCACTCCCGTTTCCTTCTCTCTGCCTTTTCGAATTATGCCTCGGCTCATCTTGCGGCCAATATCTGCTTTGGCTAGTAGACTTGATGGTGGAGCGGTGTCGAGGTTAGCTTAGCCGGGCCAAATCACATCCAATGGCATCTACGATTTCAGTCTTGCGACCCACCTCGAGTCACCTAGGTACTCAATCCATCCCAATTGAGAAACAAATCTTCGACCACGCTGGGGCGCAATGCTTGCATGACATTCGTACCCTGCAACTCCAGGATACCTGCATGACGGTTCCTACTTAAGATGTCAAGCACCCATTACCTTGACGTTGAATGCCTTGCAGCTCGCGAGACGACAAAAGGCTCACAGGATCCGCTACTGAGAAGGATATACCAAACGAAAGAACCAATCTACATAGCAAAGTTAACCAAGAAAAACCAGAAAAAAAACGAAAGGGAGATGAAATAGAAAGCAAATCTAAAGAACCAGGAGAGCAGCTGGTAACCTGCCTAAACGTTAGACAGATTCACATCTCGGTCACTACCTAGCAGTAGGTACTCTACGACTTCCCATCTTTGTCATCACTGCCAAAGCTTGCTGTATGCTCGATTACAGACTGTGAGTGGTGCCCCGGACTCTTTGCCATGCCATTTCCACTTCTCCGATTGTCCGGACTTGAGTGCACTGCAATGTACTCATTCTGGGTGCGATTTGAAGTACTCTTGACGACTGCTAATAGTAATGAGATTTATACTTTTCTGGGAACGTGAATGTAAATCAAGGTTTAGCCATGCTGCGGATTGTGCTCTAAGCTCTTTTCGAAGTTACCTACCTAGGTATGTATCCATGGATAGCTTTGGACTTCCTTGCATCGCGTGATATGCTAGAGAGAAGATTCTTGTTACCGCTGAGAACATACACTTAACAGTGTCTGCGATTCCAAAAACGGGAATGATGCGAGCAATGAATGGGTACCTAACTAGCAGATGTCTATAGCTGACTACAGTCAGATTCGTGGTCTTCCCACTATGTGATTATCTACTTCTGGAAAACCGCACACCCCCACATCATCGACGTGAGATTCCATGCGCGCCTCTCTGAAACAAGTCTTGTTATGGAATAGCAAAGTCGAAGATCAGCTGATTAAACTAGCTGATTAAGGAGTATTTCCATTGAGGATCCTCCCCACCTGGCCGAGCTATTGACCGACATCTCAGCTTTTGTCACTCGCTCGCACGTGTTCACAAAAGCTATTTAAGCTCGTTTGAGCTGCCACAACTGGTCCAGGTCTTATACGTTGTGAACTAGCATCAAGTACCATTTGTCCTTTGCTTAACATAATAGCCCTTACATACCAATAGGTCACGGTGTCACCAATC